GGGTATTCATGGTTGACCTGGGTTTTACCTTTCCAAATCTAACGAAACAAAATGTGAGGTGCGAAGAGAATTGTACGGCTACTATTCGGTAATAAATAATGGAATAGGGTATGGTAATTGTGGTGATGATGGTAATCGTGGTGATAATGGTGATGGTGGTAATGGTGGTGATGGTTGTGATGGTGGTGATGGTGGTGATGGTGGTATGGTGGTGGTGATGGTGGTAGTGATGGTGGTGATGGTGGTGATGGCGGTAATTGTGGTGATGGTGGTGGTGATGGTGGTGGTGATGGTGGTGGTGATGATGGTGATGGTGGTAATGGTTATACTGGTGGTGATGGTGGTGGTGATGGTGGTGGTGATGGTGGTGGTGATGGTGGTAGTGATGGTGGTAGTGAAGGTGGTGATGGTTGTGATGGTGGTAGTGATGGTGGTGATGATGGTGATGGTTGTGATGGTGGTAGTGATGGTAATGGTGGTAATGGTGGCAGTGATGGTGATAATGGTGGTGATGGTGGTAGTGATAGTGGTTATGATGGTGATGGTGGTGATGCTGTGGATGGTGGTGATGGTGGTGATGGGGGTTGTGTGCATTTGTGTGTGAGCGAAGGAGTGTGCAAAATTACACTAAAATAGGGTAATGGAGAAATTAAATCCTTACATCATAATACAAAATGAAAATAAAAACTCGAGATGTTTCACTGTGTTTTACTTTCTAAAATCTTCTTCACTATTTTGTTTTTAAGTCAAGTCATGCGAATGAAACATTAGTTTTACTTAGAAATATAGATTAAACAATCGATTTATGGGTGGGGTAAAACAATCACAAAAACGAACATACACAATAACAAATCCAAAAAAAATAACAACAACATGAAAAAACAACCAACAAAGCCTATGAGATTGTAAAAAACAAAAAAAAAACAACAAACAACACAACAGCCACCAGTGGTCAACTATCCGCCACACTGACCAAACAACTGACAGCGGTCAATGAAAAGGTCCTGGCTATAACGTTGTGACTGGAGCCACTCTACACCGTTGCTATTTTAGAGCTCGACTAACAACTCCAAAAATAAAGGATCAAGTTATGCACTCTGTCATCAATAATTTAAATTAAAAAACGCACACAGAATTAGTCTGGTGTAGCACTTGATGTATAGTTGCAATTCGCACTTTGTATTAAAAAATGGCGTCATTTCATCCATCCCCTTAAGCGCTTCTCACTTCGATTTTTTTTTCATCAACCGCGTCATATTTTCTGCCCCCAAGATTCACATCCCACCCCCTACAACAAACACATGCACGCACTATCAGGCAAACACCCCTCTTCCCCTACCTCCCAGAACACCATCCCAGAACCTCGCTGTTCATTTCCGTACAAATGTCGGACTTTAGTCTGACGCGCTGTTGACAATTTTGACGCTAAATAGACCAAAGAAACGCGAGGCGTGTTTGCTGAAGCCCGCTGCTAGAGAGCCCTAAAAGAGGATACCATGTCCGAGGCTGCGAGTCCCGGAATCTCGAATGAGCCCCAGGGATCAGGCCCGATCACTATAAAGGCCGAAATAAGGTCGATCTGTTTAATTTGACTAAGTGGTCATTGCCAGGCGGATGTTGATGCAAGGGGGAGAACTGCCCGCGTCTTTCATTCCGCGGCGTTTATCATTCAATCGGGCGCCATTATAAAAATGCATCGATTTTAATTAACCCTCGGCTTTCGGGGTAGTAGATCTTCTTGGGGCGCTTTTTCGAAAGGGGGCACAACTCGAATGAGGGGGAGACGATCGTTTGAATTTTTTTTTTTTGGGACAAGGTTTGTCGTTTTCCGCCGACATTTCCGGGGTGCGAATGTACCTAAGTTGAAAGGTTTTGGGAACGAGAGTTCGTTGCACTGCGTCATTGTAATTTGCGTCGTCTTAATTTGCGTCATCGTAATTTGCGTCATCGAAATTTGTGTCATAGTAATTTACATCATCGTAATATACATCATCGTAATTTGCGGCATCGTAATTTACTTCATTGCAATTCGCGTCTTTTTAATTTACAGTCATCGCAATTTGCGTCATCGTAATTTGCTCTTCGTCATTAGTTGTACATCAATTTCACTATAGGGAATTCTGAGGAAAAAAATCTTTCTTATCAATAAACAATTTAATTTTTACTGTAATTAAACTGATCAATGGTGTGTATTTTGTGTGTTTTGTTTTTGTCGACTTAAAAAAAATAGTCTGGGCCAGGTGTCGGCAACCTTTTGTGACGGAAGAGCCCAAAGTTACAATTTATAAAATTTCCCAGTTTTTAAAGAGCCACCGCCAATTTTATTTAAATAGTATGATCTATAATCGGGGTTTGGGATATATATATATATATATATATATATATATATATATATATATATATATATATATATATATATATATATATATATATATATATATATATATAATATTATATATATAACAGTTAAATGTTTATGAATGAATGTTGGGTGTGTGTGTGTTAAAAAAAGGCGAATTGGATTCAGTGAGACAGTGTGGGGGTACGCATGCGCGAAAAAAAGGGAAGGAAGCAAGGAGATGAACACGATGGCGGTGGGAAACAAAAATGAAATATGAAAAACTTCAAGAAGAAGGCTTGACTTTGTTAATATAGGTATATTATAAAGGTTAGGAAAAAGGCTTGTGACAATATATATCAACACTATTCCATTGGACAGACAAAGGACGTATGACAAAGTAACAAACCTACATACAAACATTTATCTACATTTAATTACTGTCACAAGTGACAACTTTCCCATCCAACTTTGAAATCTTTCTATATACAAATAAAAACGTCCACATCCAACTTTGAAACATGCATCGGTGAAAACAAAAACCGTCCCACTCTAGTATAAACTCTATCCAAACCAACCCCAAAACATCCATGTACCGACTTAGAAACCTGCCTTGATGAAAACAAAAAACCGTGCCACTCTAGTATAAACTCCATCCAAACCAACTCCAAAACATCCATGTACCGATTTTGAAACATGTCTTGGTGAAAACAAAGACCGTCCCACTCTAGTATAAATTCTACTCCAACCAACTCCAAAACCGAGTTTGAAACCTGTCTAAATTCACATACATTTTTTTTGAGAAATCGGAAACAGCGTAAAGTACTACTTCTTGTCAATGGAAGTTACTCAAAATTTGAGAGAAGGCAGAGAATTAGATCTTTTACTTACATGTACAATTTCATTTATCTATCTGAAATAGTATTCAAGTTATAGGCTTTTGAAAAATTCAAAGTAGAAAAAGTTCCACTTCCGGTCATCGAAAATCGCTCAAAAGTTGATACGGACCTACGATACTTATATATGAAATTTCATCAACCTAGCTGTAACGGTACTCAAGTTATCGTGTTTACAGACACACACACACACACAGACAGACAGACACACATACACACACAGACACAGTGTTTCTTCCAGACTTTTTTCTCCGGGGGGGCACTTGAAATTTTCGGGGGGGGGGGGGGGGCGGTAGACTGTTAAAAGTATATATTTTCTATATAAATTATATAAATTTCATTTCGTTCGGGGGGGGGGGGGGGGGGACGATATGCCTGGAAGAAACTCTGCACAGACATACGGACAAGATTGCAAAAGTATGTTTTTCCGACTCAGGGAGGTGTAAAACATCGAGATTTGCAAAAATCTCGATTTTTTTTTTGCACGATTACAAGACTTTCTCTATCCTAATATATAAATCCCCACGTTCGCACATCTCTCTCTCTCTCTCTCTCTGTCTGTCCGCAAAATATTTTCGCCGGACATCACGTCAGAATCGGCAGCGATATATGAAGAACTTTTTACGGACTTTTGTTGAAAATAATATGTTAGATGCTTTAAATGTATAACCACAATATTAGTTAAAGAAGAAAAATAAAAATTAAAGGCGTATTCGAATGTAGAGAAACAGTATTATTTATGCAACCGGAAAAGCATTAATAAATGTGAAAATGAACGCATAAAACTGTGACGTCACTATTGCTTATACATTAACTAATGACGTCATCTGCCGTGTTTAGAATGAAAAGAAATGAACTATTTCATTCAAATTTGATTTAGATCTACGTACACTATGAAATGTATACAATACAATTTTTCCGGCCCAAACTCATAAAATTTATTTTATGTATTTGGATTCTAGATCTAAAGATTCTAGATCTAGACTAAATCTAAATAAAAATCTACGCAATAACTAGATCTAGACGTAGACGCTAAGATCTAGATTTAGACTCTAACTTCTCTAAAATCAATTCCAAAAATAAATTTCTATATTAGGACTAAACTATTTCAAGACTTATTTATTTTATACAAAATCTTTGTTTGGAACTGGCTAATTTGGGATAAAAAAATTAATTTGAAAGAATAGGCATATTCGCGTAAGTTAAGATTTTAAAATACGTGTTTCATTCTCCGTATATTGTAAGGTGCCTAAATAGCGGAGATGTTAGTGTACATTAAACCACGCAGGTGGTGCGGGTTCGAGACACAGCAAGTCAACTTGGTTAATGTATTCTTTTTTATTATGCTCGGGCTAAACTTTAAAAAAAAATTCTTTTAGGAATCTAGATCTAGATCTAGATTGTCGGGTGTCCGATAGGGCACTTCCCGGCGCCGCAGGCGCTTCAAATTTGGCATGATCTTGCCTTGGTGCGACAGAACACGGGGGCCGGTTGGCCGAAAAGTCTACGATGTGGGGGTCAAAACTGACCTCGACTGACCGGTACCTTATATGAGCTATAAATCGAAAAAAAATGTCCACGGAGGAACCTCTTCATAACTCTTGAGGTCGTAGACCGACCTTCGGGCGAATTAATTAAGCATTCAAATTCTCAATGTTTTCGAAAGCCTAAGCGAAGCTGGGCAGCATGCCTAGTACTTCGTATATACGAGAAAGTAAAAGCCAACTCATGATAAATTATAAGTGCTTTTTTTTTTTTTAGATAAATAAATTTTGATACGTTTCACGATTCTGCGTGTTATTTCTGCGCGAGGGACATGCTAATCTTCTCTCTATCCTTCCAATTTTATTGTAGAATAATTTTTTTTTTTGGATCAAAGTGCTTTATTAAGGTTGATCATATTGATACTAAACAAGTAGGCCTACAACAAAATTATGACCTTTAAGCACAATGATAGAGATCCTAATAAGCAGTAAAACAAAAACTGTACATACGTGAATAAGTCTAAGTAACTCAGAAAAACTTTCCAATAACCTTTTGTTTTACAAGAAATTTATTATAAAGCAGGAAAAAACTATCATTCTAAAGTTATCTTGTAATAAATTCGCAAAAATAAATCTATACAATTTTGTTTGTTATTTATTCTTGTTTCAATTCCTAATATTTAAATATATTAACAGTCAAGTAATGTGACAATTCACCAATTCCTTAACAGTATTTTAGTAAATAAATATTTTTATCATAAACATGAGAATTTCCAGTTAGCTAATAGCACTAATACAACATTCTACGTTTTTCATACAAAACAGAATTTCCAAAAAAAAAAAAAAAAAAAAAAAAAAAAAATAAAAAAAAAAAAAACAGAATTTCCAAGCAGACTAAAAAATATTTAGGAATATTTTTTTTTTTTTTTTTGATTTAAATAATTTTTTATTCTAGATTAAAACAAAAGTTTTCACACATACTTTAATAAGTTTCATTTTGGCATGCAGCTAACCTTTTCTTCTAAAAAGACAATTTTTTCCGCCAATATTAGCTAAATGCTAAATTACTTTTAAATAGTTAATGGTGCTTTCATTGCACAATAGTATGCAATTTAAAAGCAACTTTCAGGTTTTAAAAACAAAACAGTTGGCAAAAGCTTTAATTATTTTTAGTTATTCCTTTTTTAAGCTTAGTATAGCTTATTTTTTTAGACCATTCATTGTCACTACCAGTTTTCTTGATCCACCATGATCTCTGTGTTCACATAACCAAACACCCTGCCACGTTCCTAAATTGAATTTTCCATCTGTAATTGGAATACTAACACTGCTTCCTAACAGGGCTGCTTTAGCATGAGCTGGCATGTCATCTGGGCCTTCTAATGAATGCTTGTAGTTCCAGTTCTCAGGTGCAAGCTTATTTAAAACCATTTCCATGTCAGATAAAACTGTTGGATCATAATTCTCATTTAAAATTATACTTGCTGAAGTATGTTTTATGTGAATATTTGCAACTCCAACTTTAATTTTGCTCATCTCTTCTTTACAGGAGTGCATTATTTCATCTGTTATGTTATGACAGACACGGGATTTTGAAGGAATAGCAACTTCTCATTGATACCATACTGTAACACCTTCCCCTCCTGTAGGCATTGTATTCAATAAATGTTTTCTGTTATTCAATGTAGATTTACAAGCACTAATCTAAAATTGATACTGAGGTGTGAATTTATTTTATATCAAAAACTTTTTTTTTTTTATACTAAAAAATATTTAGGAATAAAAATCACAAAAAATGTCAGAGGTCTAACGTACCCATTGGAATCTTAATTCACATATATAATTTAATATACGATTCACTGTTTACGTTAGCTAATGGGTTTATATGTAAATTAGGATCTAATAATCATTCTGTCCTTCATAATAAATTTAAATTATTAAAATAATCTTATAAAACGTGCAAAACGTAAACTAAATAAAATATTAAAGAATGACAGTTTGTTTTATTGTGTATCATTTCATGTATCTATATGTTTTAAATAGTTTAAGAAAACAGAATGTGAATTGTTTCCCTTTGTTATTTCCAAGTTTGAAATGGGAAGTAACTAGTAACACGGATTGAAAAGATTAAAATGACGATCTACGTTTTAGCTAATAGTCGATGGTAAAGACACCAAGTCCCAGAAGCTCTGAATACACCAGCCAACGTCAGCTTGGTCGCTGGAGGTCCCTCTTCGGAAGATACCACAACGCACACAACTGGTGCACATGTGATCAACTGAAGTGTGCAGCGCATATAGGATATCTTTGGAAAAATGTTTTTGCAGACCTTTTGCTCCATGATTAAGTAAAGAAATATGACTGTATTGTAGTCAAGTGATAACACTGTAGTTATGTGACTGTATTGAAATGAAAGTAACAGCATTAGTAAATTATTTATACAATTTTAAATTAGAAAATTGAAAGATAAAAGAAATGTGGTCAATTTTGTCAGAAAGGACAAACCAGTAATGTTTTACAAGTTCACTCAATAAAGTTCTTTCATAATAGTTGACTTGGGGTAGTTTGTTCGGATATATTTATTCTGTGATCCTCCCTAGCACCAACAGCTCTAGCTCCAGCAACATGTCCCCTAGCATTTGTCAACACCTTTCGAAGCACTAGTTAACACCTCCCCTAGCACTAGTCAGCTCCTCCCCTAGCACTAGTCCACACCTCCCCTAACACTAGTCAACAACTCCCCTAGCACTAGCCAGCTCCTCCCCTAGCACTAGTCAACACCTCCCCTAGCACTAGTCAACCCCTCCCCTAGCACTAGTCAACACCTCCCCTAGCACTAGTCAGCTCCTCCCCTAGCACTAGTCCACACCTCCCTTAGAACTAGTCAACACCTCCCCTAACATTAGTCAACACCTCTCCTAGAACTAGTCAACACTTCCCCTAGCACTAGTCAGCTCCTCCCATAGAACTAGCCAGCTCCTCCCATAGCACTAGTCAACACCTCCCCTAGAACTAGTCAACACCTCCCCTAGCACTAGTCAACACCTCCCCTAGAACTAGTCAACACCTCCCCTAGCACTAGTCAACACATCCCCTAGCACTAGTCCACACCTCCCCTAACACTAGTCAACACCTCCCCTAGCACTAGTCAGCTCCTCCCCTAGCACTAGTCAACACCTCCCCTAGCACTAGTCAACACCTCCCCTAGAACTAGTCAACACCTCCCCTAGCACTAGTCAACACCTCCCCTAGAACTAGTCAACACCTCCCCTAGCACTAGTCAACACCTCCCCTAGTACTAGTCATCACCTCCCCTAGCACTAGTCCACACCTCCCCTAGCACAAGTCATCACCTCTAGAACTATTCAGTTCTATAGGAAGAGCTCCTCACAGGGCCAGAAACATCCCAGACATTCTAAAAATCAAACAAGCATATTAAAAATGTAAATGTCATTATCATTAACCCCGAGAGCCAGAGAGTTATATAGTTTGCCAACTCGATAACTGTTCCTTTGTCGAATATATATATATATATATATATATATATATATATATTTATTTATTTATTTATTTATTTATTTATTTATTTATATCTCAAAAACCAATAACTTTGTACTGTTTGAAGTATGTGGACAAAGTTCCACAAATAAATATTAGATTGTATGTGAAGGAGACGTTCGTCGTGGTCGAGTTGGTAAAGCTCATGGTTGCTATACCGAAAATTCTCAAGTTTGAACTCTTGGACAGATGAGGCTCGAAAGCTGGGGACAGTAACTCTTCTAGGAGAGACAACTCCAAAATCAAACAACCTCTGTCTTGTAGTTTGTTCTTGGTTGGACAAAGGCAATGGAAGGTAACCCAAAAAGAAAAGCAGGCTGAAATTGGAGTCAACGGTCTAAATGGCGCATAACCAGTTGACACGTAAACTTAATTGTGTTAAAGGGAATCTCTTCCAACATTAAAATTAAGAACTAAGAAGAAGAAAGAAAAAGAAGTATGTGGAGATTTCTTTCAACTTTTGAACGTTTTTCAATAACCTGAAGAAGAGCTACTATATTTCAGTGTGAACCCGCTAATTTGAGTAGGGCCTACTGTTTTAGTTAGGTAAACAAAATTTCATTAAATATTTTCAATTTTTGAATGACTCCAATCGCCGGTAGTGCTAATTTTCTATATTTCTGGTTTCTAAAATACCGATAACTTGAGTACAGTTTCAGTTAGGTGGACGAAACTTTATACATAGATCTTAACGTCTTGATTATATAAAAATTTGAGTGGTTGCCGGTGTTTTTGATTTCTCAAGAAATATCTCTTCAACTCCTATTTGTTTCAAACTTTTCAAGTTTGTCAAGACGACGACAATACAGTGTGACAAACCATGTGAGTTAATTAGATGTTTAATTAACTTTTGAAAAATTAATCAAAGTTTTCTTGATGAAGAAGGCTAATAATTTCCCGCTGAATTATGCACACCTTGTTTATTGTTTATTTGGTGCGCAATCCTTTTTTCCTAAGCGATTCTATTCTATTAAAAAAAATTAATTATTAAAAACAATTAAAAAAAACATTTCTATAGCCCGATGGTACTGAACGTGCCATCCCCCTTACTGTTATATTATAATATACTACAAAGTTAAGAGGATATCACTCCCGCTTTATGTAAAATATAAATATACCCGAAAAAAATGCCATTGTAAAAAGGGCAGTAAGACAATGAAAAATATCCAATTGTCCTTTATAGATCGATAGAAAATGTTCGATGGTTGGAGTTTCTAAACTGTTGATTTTGGTACCTCCCCATCACCTTTTTGAGCCCTAGATCCCAAGTAAATAATGATAACGTATAATATATTGACTTACATTTTTTGTTCGTTACATATTTATTACAAGTATATTTTATTGATATTTATATATATACATAGTCTGTATAAGCATCATTTCCTAACACTCAGTCATAATTGTCTTTTTGTCTGGTATTTCTTGCTCCTGCTGCTATCTTCCGTTTTTTAAAATCAACACTCTCACCAGATGAACTACACAGAGAGGCGTCTTTTCTTTGAACAGGGGGGCAACTGTCTTTTCTTTGAACAGGGGAGCAACTGTCTTTTCTTTGAACAGGGGGCAACTGTCTTTTCTTTGAACAGGGGAGCAACTGTCTTTTCTTTGAATGTACGTGCTTTCTCTGGTGGGGCCCATCTGAATGTTCCAGTGGCAAAGGAATTTCTTTTAAGGATGGAGCAGCACTTGTTTCATCATAAACAATGGCTTGTTCCACTTCTCTGACAACACTCCCTTGAGCCACAAGCTGACCTGTTGTGTTTGGGATCTAATCTGGTACTTTTGGGAGGTTCCTTCGTCACTGGTTCATGTCGTTCAGAAACTAGA